TAAAGCAACATATTGCAACCTCTCATCTTTCAGTAATTTCATGTACATCTCAACAGAATTTCCTGGAGAGCAGAAAGAAAGGGGTTTTTTTAAGCCAGCCTCAAAGCTTAGTTTTCATTCACTCTTGAGGGTTTGTTTATGCACTTTTTCTTTGTCTATGGCAGTGTTTGCAGTTCAGGCTATTTTAGTTGACGTGAAGGGCTGTGAGCCGGCTGATGGATTCAGCAGCTGCACATTACAGGATCAGCTGTCTGGAAGACTGAGTGAAGTGGGCAGTTGGCAGCCAAATGGGTACAGCCCCTGTAGCCTTAGAAATTCCCCAGCCAGTGCTACAGGGTAGCCCATGAGAGGATGACAAAATCTTTACCTTAACGCCACTATGAAACTGTGTAAAAACGAAAATGCCTAGTGAATGTGTGAGATTAATGATTACAAAAAGTTGATTTGGAAATGGTGCTTTCTAAAAATCAGGCTGAAATAGCTTCTGATATGAAACTATATACTGATAAAATGGGGAAAGACTTCCATGCTTATATTTGTAGGCTGTATATTATTGCTGTTGACCTGGAACTATGCATATTTAGAAATAGATGCCAATAGATAAGTGCTGTTTTCTTATTACTTAAAATACATGATTTATTTTATCTGCCTGCCACTTCTGGTAAAAGCAACTGGCACTCATCACAGCATTTAGGCACTGCCTTGTGATACTGCTGTTCTTTATTTATAAATACAAAGTGTAAAATGGGCAGATGACAGTGTTCTGCTGGTTTTGCTCTCTCTAATGCTAAATCACCTACAGGGAGTTGGGAAGAATGAGGACAACGAGGCCGTGCTGTACCAGGTCTTGATATTGAGCCTCAGTAAAATTGGGAACTTACATAACATGACATTTTTGTGCTGTATTTGAACTGCACTAATTATTACAGTAAATTATCACATTCACAGCTGTGCTAGATATAATTATTTCATTTTGCTGAATTTTATGTAAATCTAGACTTCAGATACAGGAGTAAGTAAATAGATAACGCTGACTGGATTTGATATAGTATCTTTTCCTTTCAATATGCTGTTTTGTGACAGACAAGTGTAAAGAAAAAATGCAAGTGAATAGGCTGCAGCTTTATTAATGCTCTTTTGCTGAGAACTAATCAGCAGTAACTTATATGGCAAAAGTGAAAATTTCTTTGTAATCATGTTCTCTTGATAAAGGGCTGGCCTTTACACAGCTGTCCTTTGCACAACCTTCCCCTTCCCATCATCATATGATAGATAAAAAATAAGGAAAGGGGATATCAGTAGGGACTTAAATTATTTTTTCCAAACCTTTTGTAAGATGGACTTCCCGCAAACCCAGGTTTAATCCATTTTATCCAGAAACCTGTCCTGTGGTGAAATGAAATCCAGCTCTTCTGACAGTGGCTACAGACTCAGTTGAAACAGAAGTCACCCACCAAAACGCTGATACGTAATGGAGGAATGTCAGCTTATGGCTCCTAAGATTTCTTTCAAGAAATATGCAATAGACTGAGAGATGACTGTGTGCCACGCATGTGGAGGGGCTGCTGATCAACTCTACCCATCACTCAAGTGGTTAGAGCATGTTCAGAAAGACTGCTGCATTGACCCTACTGCTCTGTACTCACACAGTGAATCCAGCTTCTTGTCTGGCTTCAAGCTTAGAGTGCATGTGCAGGTGGACTGCAGCATATATGTAACACTGGACTGGACATACTGAACTTCTGCATACACTGTAGACACTTGTCCAGGACTTCTGGACATTAAATAGCTGGAGCTATTAATAGAGGAGTTCAATGACCTAAGAACCAATGACTTAAAAACCTGGTCCTGTTGCAAATTAATCAGGCTTCCTGAATGATTCAATCAGCTTTTGATCTAATAGGAAGAGGAAAAACAAAACAAAACAAAACAAACAACCAAACCAATGGTCCTAAATATCACATGATGTCAACATACTTATCAGCAAAGGAAAAATCCTTTCGATTCTCCCATGAAAGTAAAGACAAGACTACAGTGACAGCTCAATGCTGTATGAATTCCAGGCCAGAAAGGAAAAGGAGCTGATGATAAAGTCAGAAAATGGAGCTCAGAGTTTATATATTATGAAAAGGTATGCAGGGATTTGGTTTCCTTCCTTGTTTGTTCAGCCACTCAGAAAACAGCTTCCTGTCTTTTGGCCACCCACTCTTTCTAAAACCTAAATCCTTTAAGAGCTGCTACTTTGTTTGTCTCTGACTGAGGTGGTAGTCTTATATGTTAAGATCAGAGTGTGTGACCTTTACTTGGATATGGATGAGGTCAGTGTTAGGTTTTCTCCATGTTTCTGAAACTGTCAAGAGC